GACGCCATACACCTACCTGGGAGTATCACGCCCCTAAGACCTAGTCTCGGACCAGCCAATCCTTCTCTCACAGACATCCCCACTGAAGGTGTCTCGGAGTCGTCTTCATCCTCGCACTCGCATGCTGGGGCAATCGCAGGTGGTGTTATCGGAGGCGTAGCGCTCCTCTTTCTGCTCATCGGTGCGTTCCTCTACTATCGTCACAAGCGGCGCGCAGCCCCCCACCCATCTCGAAGGAGGCGTGGGTCGGAAGCCATAGGTGACCTTCGTAAACCGTCGGGCGAAAGCTTCAATGGCATAGACACCCTAGTTGGGGACGATGTCTTCAAGGCTAAGCGCTCCGGATCATATTCTTCCAGGATTGGCAAATACGAAAGCTCGTCTAGTATTGGACACGACCGACCCTCGTTGGGATACGAGTACGACCGTACCCATACACCTTCGACCGTCTATGGACGCAGGTCCTTGGAAAGCACTGGGGAGACCCCTACTTCTGGATTCGCTCCTGCTCTTCCCACAAATGCCGCCTTTCCCGACGGCCGAGAGCGTTCACGGTCTGTATCAGACCAGAATCAAACCCAGAGTCGCGCAGCTGCACTAGCTGCCCTTCATGGCGATACGGCTCCTACGTCTTGGTCGCAGTACCCTCCGATGCCCCCTGCCCCCACCAGTAACCGCCCGGACTCAGTCGTTGGGTCTGGATTGGCTAGATCCGAGTCGATGACGCGCGCTGGAAACAGATCTTCCAGACGGGCGAACAGGAAGGCTGTGCCCAAGTACGATCAGGAGGAGTTTTCAAGCCCTTCCTCCCCGACTTATCCGCCAATATCGCCGCTCGATAGTGCCAGACGCTCTCATGATCACGACGAAATTCCTTCGAGCAGTGCTGAGAGCTCGAACGTAAACCTGCACCATCAATTGGAGGTGGCGAAGTCGAGGGAAGATTTACTCGCTGCTGGGTATGAAGTCCCAGAACTCAACCATAAGTCGAGCTTTGGGAATAAGGCGATGCACTATCTGATTCCCGACCCACCTCCGCCGCAAACGGACTGAAAAATGTAACAACAGCCTTCTTGAGTATCTTCTAGGTGCGAATGTCGTCACTCCATTTTTCAATTTTCAGAATGCTCATATACTGAATTTAGTAATCCCCCCTATTTATCACTCGCGTATGCTCTTCAATCTTACACCCGCCACTCCCCCTTCTATCTCCTCCTAGCCCTTTTATCCCATCCGCTATCTACCAGCTACGCTCTTCCCGACTCACTAGGACTGCTTTCATCTCTTTCTATCTTTCCATCCCTATCCTCCATTTCTGTGGCGTCTCCTGATTTCCTGATTCCCTCTCCTCATAGTGAGCAGCACTGTCTCTCCTTGTTGGGTTGATGAGGCGTATCACTTCGTCATGTTCCGACGCACTCCCATCAGGATGGGCCGTCACTGGCGTCGCGACCTTCGTATATTGTCCCATCAGTTGCGCCTTGTGTTTCCGTGGTTCTCGTGTGTTCTCGTGTGTTCGTGTTGCGGTTGATTTTGAGATCGTGGTGATTCTTTATTCCCTGACTTCTGACGTTCGCGACGTTCTGTTCTCCGTCATGCATTGCTCATGTCAGGCTTTTTACATGCGTTTCCAGACTTCCTAGATGTTCATCTTGGATCGCACTGGTATCCCTTTTTCTACGTCGGAGTGCTGGAGTGTTGAAACGTTGACTAGGAATGTTTCTTGATTCCATTACGTTTCTTTACACTACTTCGTACGACCTGTCCATGACAACGATTTGGACCATCCCGTCACACATTCCACGACATTGTCATGTTTTACAAGTTATGCTTAAGCTTCTATATATAAACTCCCATTGAAATCTTTAGCTCCTAGGTTCTAATTCGTACTCGTACTACTGTAGCAAGCTTAGCGATTTATTGAACGGTGTAGCTTTTATTCTTCCGTATTCGCGATGAGAATACAACTACCCAGGACTACAGCATTCGAATTCCGCAGTGTGATGGTAGTATCGATATCTGGAATTTCAAGCTGTAAGTGATCATTCAAATGTGAGTCCGAGGTCGCGATGCGGGATGCGGGATTATTGTGCTCGCTACATGCGATGGATATCTGAGCAATTGTTCTCAGTTTCCCGGTCATTGCTGTTATATCAGCTTCCCACGTATGTATGCAGTCTACGCAGCATTTTTACCCTATGCCCATTCACAACAAGTCAACCACACCAACGCCGTAGCCACAACCAGCCAACCACGCCCTTCAATTGGACGCTGAACACACAACGCGTGCTCTCCTCATGTTTTTCGTAAACATCAAAGCATATTGAATTGCCGGACACTGAAGAGCTTTGAATAAGTAGTCGATTATTTGGGGGAGCGACAGATAGCCTTCGAGGACGGCGTGCCAATCGGTTCGTATTGGATTTACTTTCTAAAAAAAAAGAACCAACTCGAGTTTGTTCGTTCAGAGGTTCGTAGCTGTATAACGCTGAGCGAGAAGGGTATGTGCGAATCAAATTCGTAAAGAGGGTATTTGATTACACTTGGATGTACGTACGTAGGCGACAAGTGTTGGTACTATGTAGTCCTAGTAAGCGGCAAGAGAAATGAATAGCGTTTATTGCTGTGATGTGCGGTGTCAACGAAGAAGTCTTGAACGTCCTCCGCTGAGGTTTGAACTTTGTATTGAATTAAGTGGAATAAGCCCGCTGATAGACGAGGGGAGGGGTATCCACGCTTTCCACGATGTTTTCATTTGTGGGAGGATAGAAGGAGCTGTGGTGGCGACGGTCGTGAAGATTGGTGGATTCTTTGGGAGTTTGAGGGAAGTCGAGGATGTGTGCTAAATACTGTGTCCGTTGTGGTGTGAGTAATGGGTTTCAGGTGAGATTATTCCTCAGCATTGTCTAGGTTAGGCTCCGGTGACGATGTGGCTGCCATTTTATTTTCGTACTGCTCGACAAGCTATGCGATAAACGGCAATTTGATGAGAGTTAAACTTAACTCACGCAAGACAAGGCGACTAACCTCCACGAAACGTTCGTGCTTCCAGTGCATCTCGACCTTGTCGATGTCACACGCTGGTGACAGCCATTCGAGGAACATGAAGAATAGACAGTCGACGATGAGTATGATGGCGAATATCGGTCCAGCGAAACGACCAAGGTCCAAAGTCCTGCAATATAACCCAATGAAATGATAATAAGTACCATCCTGTGTCACAAACGAAGAATGGGAGCTGACCTTTGCAATCTCGTCCAGAAATCCAATGGCTCGCTCTTCATTACACTCTCGTACACCCTTTCCACTCTCTCACCTACATCCTTCCAATCATAAAATCCCCTCACTCTCTCATGTGCTGCCTTCGGATCGTGTTTCCCAGCCCTCACGAGTTCGATGGCCTCCGAGACGGCTCTGACGACGTCGTCCTCGTCTGGATTCGCAAAGGATATCATGTCGGAAGGGAGAACTTCTGGGACACCGCCAACTCGGGTAGAAACGATGTATAGGCCGGTGCAGGCAGCTTCGACGAGGGCGATACCGAAGGATTCCGTAAGGGAGGTGTTCATGAATATCGAGCCTCGGGTGAGGACCTGTAGATTTGATAATTAAGGTGAAGAGCGACAAAAAGAAAGAGGGTATCCAGGATTTACATACGTTTCGGACGTCACTGTGTTTCACAGGTCCGAGAAGTTCTATGCGGTCTTGAAGTTGGTGTTTTTCACGCATTTGAAGGAGGTCTATCATCTTTGGCCCAGCTCCTCCTTCGAAGCACGACGTAAAAATTAGCTGCAAGTTCAGTTAAGAGCGTAAGGGGAAATATACCGATGACGAAGCGAACGTTTGGAAACTTTTGACAGATGCGCGGTGCGGTTGCTACCAAGAGGTCAATGCCCTTCCGGTACGCAAAACGAGAGACAACGACAATCGTCACTGTTTGGTAGATGTCAATGGGAGTCAAAACTGATGTCATCAAACCTACATTCATCCAAAGAGGGCTGTACTTCAGCAGGCTTGAATTGGTCAGCGACTAGAGCGTTCGGTATCACATATACCGACTGAGGTGGCAGTCGTGCTCGGAGCACTGTGTTTTCTCGTCTACATATGCCGTTAGTTTGTGACGAGAGGGTGAAAAAAAAAGGCCGAATATTACCCTGTGTGTGAGACACACGTAACTGCGTCAACGTTCCTTAAAGCACCTTCGAGGAGCTTGTTCGTTAATATACTCGCAGCGTCATCGAAGCCAAATAGGCTATGGTCCGTGAACACTGTTCGTACACCCATCAAATGGGCATGGAGGATGCCTTCGTGAGCCAATGACGACAAACTCGCGTGAGCATGGATGAGCTGAACACCCTCACGGAGGACGATATTCCGCAAGTAGGGGAGGAATGTGAAGAAATTTGGTAGGGTGGCCGACGAAGCGATCGTCGGGAAGGGTATATGGTAGACCTTTAGAGACGGCAATAGCCAACGGATGCCCACTCGGTCTGGTGGGTGGCTATGTGTAATCACAATGACCTATTACATAGTGCTCATTAGGAAGAAGGGCTAAGAGTTGGAAGAGACACATACGTTATGCCCTCTACGAATAAGATTCGCACTGAGCATGTAAATATGATTTTCTACTCCTCCCACGTCCGGGGGAAAGAAGTCAGATACCATGCTAATGATATTCGTTTTCAGCATTATTCTGAAGGTTGTATTCCGTCAAGACATACTCACGCAATTGTGATGGGGTCCATGGTCTACAAACAGGATACTTGGTCAATTGCTTCAACTCGAAGAGAACATGTGAATGGGTACCTACTTCGAATTGATTCTCATGAACAGATCTGTAGTTGAACCATACGTGCTAAATAATCATGTGTGAGCAAACAAAAAGACGACGAAATCCTATGTGATGGTGAGTGGGTAAGCTGGTGACACTGACTGGCAGCCTTGTGTGGGAAGATTCCTTTATACTAATGATACAATATATTAGCAGAATATCGAAGTATGGTTTAATGGTGTAGTTGGTTATCACGTCCGTCTCACACAGTCTGCAGCATTGCAGTAACTCAGGGTCACGGGAGGTCTCCAGTTCGAACCTGGGTTGAACCATTTTTTTAATCTTTGAGCTCGCGCATCAAAGATCATTATTGTATAGTACGAACGCTGATGATAGAAGTCCTTGGCTCTTGGCTTTAATATTGTTCCCGCCCCTTGCCCTTTGCTCTCATCTTCCTGGACGACTGGCGATATCTGTCCGTCGTTGTTGACGTCCTACTATGGCCTCGAAAGGCGACGTTGCTGGCAACACCCATCCTGAACATGATGAAGAGACCAACGACGCTGCCGTCTCCGTTCCCGACACCGGCGATGGCGGTGACAGCTCAAAACTCAAGATGATTATCACGCTGGTCAAGAAGTGTTTGGGGGTCAAGGACATTGCATCTATGTGAGTGCGTAGCTCGTTCGGTGCGAGACTGTCAGTGAACTCTCCGTAGGCGACTCTCCCTCCCCGCTTCACTACTAGAACCCATCCCCAATCTCGAATATTGGCATTATCTAGACAGGCCAGACCTGTTTGCAGCGTAAGTTGCTGCATCCACCATCGTGCAGGGACGCTCTGACGCCGACTATCATGTAGAATCAATGACTCTCCCGACCCATTGGAGAGGATGGTCGCTGTGCTGCGCTTCAATTTCGCCAAAGACTTGAAGTTCATCGTATGTGCTCTTCTGACCCTCATAACCTATATCTTATGCCTTCTCCTGAATAGCATGGCAAGGTCTGTAAGCCGTACAACTCTGTCCTGGGGGAACACTTCCGTGCACATTGGGATGTGGTCCCCGTCAGGTACCCCTCAGACGATCCAGCTCAGCTCCCCATTCAACACCTCTATCTTTCGGAAGCAGCGGCGGCATCATCTATCTCTCAAATTCCTTCTTCTGAGACACCTCGATCGGACACTGCCAGTACCAAGAGCGGTGTTAGCAGCCTCAAGAGCTCAACATCTCGCGTCGCTTCCGTTTCAGATACTCCCACAAAGAGTACCCCGGCGACGTCCCCGGAGCTTCTCGAGACAGAATTGGACGCCAAGATGTCCAATCTCAGTCTGAACGGCTTGAACGGCGGGGAGGAGCCACCCGCAGTACTAATTGAGGGCGACGATCCTGCGCCGACTGCGGACCTTCCTCGTGTCCGCATTGCCTACCTCACTGAGCAAGTATCGCACCACCCGCCTGTCAGTGCATATGTCGCTAGTTGCCCGAGCCGCGACCTCGAGATGGTCGGCATCGATCAGATCTCCGCTAAGGTCTCAGGCATGAATGTCCGTGTGTCGCCGGGCTCGTTCAACAAGGGAATCTACATCCATGGTACTGGTGGACACGCCGAAGGCGAGAAGTATCATCTTACGCACCCCACCGCTAGCGTAAACGGCATCCTGAGAGGCAATTTCTACATTACGGTTAGCGACTCGACTATCATCACCTGCTCTGGTGCCAAGTCCAAGGATGGTCAGCAGCTGCGGACTGTGGTCGAGTACAAGGAAGAGTCTTGGCTTGGGCGCGCCCATTTCCTTTGCGAGGGCGTCATACACTCATATGACCCCTCGGGAATAGCGCACCATGAATGGACAAAGGTCAAGCACGTTCCCCATTCCCGTGTTGTGGCACAGTTCCATGGCTCGTGGAAGCACCTCATCAAGTGGAAGCTTGCTTCGGAGCCGGACTCTGATTATAGACCTCTCATCGACTTGAGTCAACTGCAGGTTATCCCCAAGGTCGTAAGGCCGTTAGAGAAGCAACTGCCCACGGAGAGTAGGAAGCTCTGGGAGAACGTCTCAAAGAATCTCCTAAGCAAGCAGTATGGGGATGCTAACAAGCACAAGTACGCGATTGAGCAGAAGCAGAGAGATGACGCCGCTGAGCGCAAGAAGAAGGGGATCAAGTATGTGTAGTGACACATCGCATTCATTTACGTCACTAACTCCTATGCAGGTTCACTCCGAAATACTTTGGAGATACTTACGATGATGGCGTGCCTATGGTTCTGCCGGAGGCAAGACGGGCCCTCGAGGAGGAACTTGCTACAGAGGCGGCACATGCTTTGGAGCATTTGAAGATCGTTGCCTAACGGACTCAACATCCTATATACTTACGACACCGGACATTAATACATCCATCTCATATTTCACGATTGTTTTTGTAATATACCAGTTACCCCGCATTTCACCTTGGTCCCAGTGTTTTTGACGCGCAAACTCATAGTCATAGACCGTTATTGATACAGAAATATCATGCGTTTCCAGGAATGCCTGTGGCTGCGAATTCCGTGACAACAAAGAAAGACATAATAATTTACTGGTAATGCTACAGTGTATAATTTACGTGACAATCCATCCTACAGAAATGCAAGGATAACACATCATGTATTCGCAGCTGGTTGTTCAGGTTTGACGTTCAGGTCCATCTTTGGATCTACCTTCGCCAACATCATCTCGGCCAGATTCCGTAGCCTTGGTACTAAGGCTGCATCACCAACACCTTCAACAAAGCCGCACCCCAGTTTCTCTGCCGTATTCCGCACAGTCTCATCTTCCCTTGCCCATTGACCGACGGTCCTCTGCTTGCTCCACCATTGGGAAGCCGACGCCCGAAGTGCAGGTTCGCGCATTACCGCGCCATGTATATACCTCAGGACCGAGGAGCGGCGAGAGGCCCGTTCGACAAGTGCCCTGGTTTGTTCCATGAGCGCAACTGCAGTAATTGGCGCATGAGTGGCTGAACAGTGTATCCAGATAGGAAGAATCAAAAACAGCAGCTGGCGGGCGAGCCAACAGTTATCTGCCCACTGTCCGATGAGAGAAAGATGGATTTCAGAACCGGTATTATAGGTGGAGGGCTAATCGAAGCGTACGCACGAAGAACACTTTCCCGTTCTTAGGTATGATGATTTGAGCAGACATCAACTGAGACGCTTCTAGCAGAGCAGCAATTGCGAGCATCCCTACAGCAGTCACCCTCCAGTCTCCGTGGTGACTGTCTCTTGTTGTTACCAACCCGATAACTATCGCCTCCCGGATGTACTGGAGTAAAGGGCGAGGTATGGCGTACATGGCGTACTGCTCCATTCTCCGGCAGTAATCGCAGTCCTGGATCACAGACTGGCCAAAGCTGCCATAGCATATTCTATCAGTTACCAAGGAGCACTGCATGTAAAGCTCGTTACGCACCGAACATACACACTCCTGCCGTCGAAAGATGATAGTCTGGTGAGCAGATTCTCCATATGCTTGGGGAGAGTCGCATTTGACGGCAGTCCAGCTTTCTGCAAGATTGTAGAGCGTATCTTGTCCGGGTGGGCATTTAAGGGTAGGTTCAACGTCCTGAAAAGGTTTGGTGGGGCTTGCAATGTTATAACATAGATGATATAGAGGGTATGCAGCGTCACAAAGATGGTCAAGGCATCGCGGAAAGGTGCTTGAGAGGCGGCTTGTTTGCGTTTGAGGAGATAATACGTCCCCGTAGTCACAGCTATGCCGGTGGTGAAAAATAAGTCAGCAGACGCGGTGATCATGGGTACCACCACCGTAATCGTGTCCTACAGTCGAAGGCAAGCTGAGAGTAATGGCTGTTTCAAACAGAAATGTGAAGGCGCCTTGGGCGCGCTGACCTGTGCCACCACGGGGGAAACAGTGAAGAGTTCAGAACCAGATTACTGGTCAGCAAGTTCAAGACGAGAATACCCCGTATGTCATTCTGTGAGTAAGGCTGAATACCATGTAATAAGGAGAATTTAGCAAAAAAATAATGGCTCGAGCCAGGATCGAACTGACGACCGCCTGTGAACACCTTGCAAGTGTAAGACAGGAGTGATAACCACTACACCATCGAACCATAACTATCTATAGAATATACTATATAAAATGTACTAACTTAGTGACTATTAATCTAAACCTCTAAAGCCTGAAGGCCTCCAAGTACATGCACTTACAAAATGTAGCCCCGTATACTTTAGGTATTCTCGGAATCTTTGGTAAAGCTGTGCATTCTTATCTACAAACCTCGGATGTATATAAAAGCGCGCTTCTAGCGAAAGCTGAGCCACTTCGCGGCGCGTCCGAGACAACGATTTGAACATGCCGCAAGAGATAACGACCGTTTAGTGTTGTGATAACCGCGCTCAATCATATATATTCACTTGTGGACTCTTGTGAGTGCGGCTGAGCTCAGCATCTTTCGTCGGCAGGATAAATATGGAAGCTAGTGGTTTGGAGATACTTTCCCTTAAAGCCGCGCTGGGTGTGCGCTCAAGTGAGACACAGTTGAAGATTCGTAACAAACGTACTTTTATTTCTCCATGCGGCACTCGCACGCTCCGAGGGTGTAGTAGTACCCGGCCTCTATCTCGGTGCGCACGGGGCATGACATCGCTTATCTACCACACAGTGAACTGCATTGAACCCTGAATCAAGTCTAACCGCCTGTATGGGCCTGGGAAGGATGGACGTAAATCCGACCTCGCAATCCATTTCTGTTCATGAGGTTCGTGGCAACAATACAAACATGGACGATCTTGTAGTCTGTGTAGACCTGGCGAATTCCCGTGGTTATGCCGCTGTGACCTACCTTGCTTGTGTTTAGGTTTTAGCTGCGAGCCCGCAGGTCCGGGTGGGAGAGGTCCGACAAGTGAAGACCTGCGATAAACATTAAGCCTGAGCCATCTGACCACTGTCCAGAGCGAACCGCGGATTGAGCGACCCTGGCTGCACATTTTGTTCCCACTTGATTACTTATTGCCCGCGGCGCTCGAGCAAGAGGTCAAGTGGAGAGAAGATGACAGAAGATGGCGTGTCGGCCGTGCGGTTGCTTGCCTTATCTGATTCTTTAAAGACATCATGTTTAGTCTTACTTGCAAAGAACAGCTCATGGATCTATGCTCACCAAATCCTGAGAATGATCTCGACCTCAATGAATACAAATGCCAATGGATGCTTGGTGAGATACTCTATGTCGTAGCACGGAAGCAACAGCCTTCGTACTACTGCCTGACGCCACAATTCAGAAGACTCGTTATGTGTGCGAACGGGAGCCACCGTAAAGCAGGGCCAGAGCATCGCGGGAAGACGTCGTGTCCAATGAGGTGGTGGCATGTGATGGTCAGGGCTAGAGATCTTGGCCTCCCTGTTCTTTGCTGATATTAGAAGAGTCAGCAGTGCTCGGTGTAGCCCCTTGCTGCTACAGATAACCACAAAGTGAATTGCCGGGAGACAGGCCCGAATGGCGTGCCTCTTATTCAGGCCTGACCGAAATCATGAACGGCGCCTGGAGATTTGGGGTGACAATTTGTACGATCCAATAAGTAGAAGAGACTCGAGGTACACAGTTACGGTAAGGCCGTAGGTGTGATATCCGTCCGATATGTCCAGTATGAATGTGCGATAATGATACAATGGTAAGTGAGGCTGTTGTACACACCGTGAGATTGATTTAGTGACAAAAATATCGGTGATGGAGACGAAGGGAAATGATCCTCGCCATGATTTTGGGTCCAGTCATAGGACCAATAGCCTGAGGTTGCTACCGCCTGGAAAGATTTAGAATCAGCTGAGCCCAACACAGAAGATAGAGCACGCACGTCCTATATTTTCTTTTCAATTCCGCCCAAGCGGGGCCTGCGGATGGATAACGAGCGATGAAGTCGGGCATTTCTTGTTCTGGGATGCGATTGATATCGACCTGATTCCAGTAATGACTCAAGGCAAACACGATATCATTCGCGTCATTCTCTAAGCGCCGACTGTCCTGTCCATTAGTATCTATTGGAGTGGCGACCACGGTGAGTCACTCACAGTACCCATGCCTTGATTTTAGCGCGAAGGAATTCAGATATTGTCAAGATAGGAACACTTGCTACGTTCATGACCGTAGTACTATCCAGTCGACGCGGACCTTCCTCTCCAGCTGGCAATATTTCAATCTAAAAAGTACGATTTAGCGAATGATGATGACAGAGAAACGGCGGTACTGACGTCGATTGGTGGTATCAGTTTAGTGTAGACCGCGTGTAATCTGCGGGGAGGTCAAGAACTGGTAGGAAAGTCAAATGACTGCATTTGTACCGATTGGTCCATGGCGAGGCTCGTATAGTCACTTGTTCACTGGATGCACAGGCTTGCCGTACTCTGCGGAATGGATGGGCAGTTTCGCCGTCCACTATGCAGAAGATTTCCTAGAGAATTGAGTAGTGTACAAAGTATCTGCAAAAGCCCGTTGAATTAGAAAACGTATGGCTCACATCGCATTGGGGCGAATTTGCCAGCAGAGCGATCATGAACCCGCCATAGAAAGCGTGCGGAACGCCAGCGGCACTCAGGAGTGTGTGCAACGCTGTGGCTGCCTCCAAAACACGGCGGAGTTCGTGGACCATGACGGATAAGCAGAGGGAGAAGAGAGGGAGAACGCATGACATTCATGAGCAGCTCTTGTTTAAGGATATGACGCACGGGTTGGAAGGAGGAAGAGAGGGCACTGGGTGAGGACCATCGTGGCCAAAGCCGAGGCACAAAGGCGCCTGATGCAAGCCTTGCCGAAGAATTCGACTTTACACAGACATTTGTTGTGCAATCGCCGACAGCACGTTTTGGAGATGGAACCGTGTTTGGAACCGGCAGGCCGTAAATCTACGGGGATCCCTGGTCACATGGTAAGCCCAAGAATTTAATTCGGACGGAGATGAGAGAATTACATTACCGGCCTCATTTCTGTGCCTCTCGTGAAAACTCATCGGCAGTTCATCTCTCGCCTTGTTCGAGGGGATGAAATCAGAGAGCAAGGGAACATATCCGACTCCGTCACCACGGAGCCTTGACCGAGCCAATCTCAGCTATAATAACAGGATGGTATACTAACCGTAAATGACCAAGATTCCGTGAAGCAGTGAGTCGATTTATATATACTGTACTCAGTTTACCGACGAATATTGGGATCGCTGAGACGGTACCGTTACTCTAGTCGAATTCGACCCTTGAGATGGTTGATGGCTTCGGGAAAGGTCCGAAAAAGGCAGGTCCGGGGGCCACGTGTGTTTTCACGGGTATGGGCGTTTACACCGGTGACGGGTCCCTTCAGCGGTGTGCGGGCTGCAACTCGTAGGCGGCAACTCCAGCTTGTCCTGCTACTTTCACGTCCTTGCTCGTGACCGTTGGTGTCGTCGCAAGTCGCATGCATGCAAAGATATCCAACTTGGTGAATCATGTAATGGGACTTTCTCTCATCGCAAAAACTCCCGTCGGGTCGCTTGCTCGTTCAGGAACATGTCAAATACTACACGGCCGAATACCCAGTGCTCTACGGCTTTGCCATAGCAGAACCCGCACCCCATACTCTAGCATCGAGCGCAGAACTGTTCCTAGAATACCCGCGGACCTTGGCGTTCGAAGATTTATGTCATGGCTCCCAAAACTCGGAGTAGGGTTTCGACCTCAACACGAGCAGTTCAATGGGCCAATGGACGGCCAGGAGGAGGCCGCCAAGGTCGCCATTCTTGAGAAAGCTATGAAAGGGAGACAACCGACGGATCTTAAATTACGATGTAAGTTCCGGTTTCGCCTTCTGGCAACTTGAGCACATCTGATGCATTTGTGACGGATTCGTAGGCACTATTCTTGATGCTCACGGTAAGCAACCTTCTTGATGATTATCCCCCAACCTCTACTTGCGTATTCTGGACGATGGAAGCCATTTCCGCTCCATTCAGTCACAGCTTCCCCTCGTCGAATCAAGCGCACAAAACATTGTCATTTCGACTTCGAATTGGACTATGGTGCCATTGATTGCGTGCATTATATGAGAGTATATGTGTATTGATTATGCGCGATGTGCTCACCACTTGACTCGTAGGTAACGTCAAGACCATCTCTGGTCAATTTAAAAAGTCGGATCTTTGCACCGAGCACAGACTCAACGTACGCCTGAAAAAACGATTACCATGCTTTGAATATTCACAGAGCGAATTTAGCCGCGAGATTTGCGTAAAATCGACTCCAGGATTCCCAACCTCGTGCCCACAATACTCGTCAGAAAGGAAGCTATCCTAGTAAGTCAAACTATTGATGTTGGTGGCGTCCCTTCTTCATGACCACGGTCAGGTCAACATTCTGCACATTCGTGCCCTTGTCAAAGCAGACACGGTGGTACTATTTGACACATATGGTTCTGCTGACTCAAGATTGCATTCTGTCTTTTTGTATCACCTCGAGGTATGTGCATGGTCTCTACCTTCCCTCAGAACCGGATACTCATTAGTCACAGCATAATCTTAGGATTAAAACTTCCGGGCAGCCTTACGAATTTCGGTGAGTGGGTTTGTGCCACTGAATTTGCGCTGTCTCTCATGCGCGTTAGTTCACCCTTTGCGCAGAGCACTCGAGTCAATCCTTTTGTCTGTTCTCAGCGCCCTGGAGGCAGAAATGGTCTTCATACGTAATCTGATAGGTGGCCTGTTGGCTGAACTTGAGGATGACATTGATCGTGATCGATTTAAACGGATGCTGCATTATTCTCGTAGACTAGCTGGGTTCCAGAACCGCGCTAAACTGGTCAGTTATCCTCTTGTTACACAATTCTGGCGTAATATGTGTGCTCATGAGAAATTTGTCTTCGATAGGTACAAGAGTCTTTGGAAGAAGTCCTTGAGCAAGGTGCGACCCTTGCCTCCCTTAGTACGCATGAGACTGAACCGGATCTTATGATTTCTAGATGAGGATCTCGCGGGTATGTATTTAACGGACAAGAAATGTGGCACTCCACGGCCATTGAACGACCATGAGGATGTGGAAATGTTGTTGGAATCATTTGCCAAACAGGTCGAAGAAATCGTCAATGAGGCTGAGAAT